CTCTATTCTCAACACTTCCACTGAACAGTCAATCCAACGACCGCTAAGACCTGGATGAACTCTCATCGTTCCGCCATCGACGTCTCTCCCAGATCAACTCCTGCCGGCAGCCTTTTAGAGTTGGATTTCGTTTTCCTCAGTTCGGGCAGCTAGGCGGGGATAAGCAAGCCTCTATCGCTCAGCCTATACCCTTCGGAAAAAGCGCTCGATACCGCGCCTCGGAGCTTCTTCGTCGGCCTGCCCAGTCGTTCGCTCGACGAGCCTAACGGAGACCGCTCTCCGAAGATATGTTTGACAACCATGAAGTTCTCTTCGACGCTGTTAACGAGAAAATATGCCGAACAAAAGAATGAGCAGGAAGATTATGGATCAGGTGAGCTTGTTCAGCTTCATCACGAGTTCAGTGACTTCCCGAGCGGGCGGACGAGGAAAATATTCAAAACTCCGTATTTATTCAGTGTGCCTTCGCATTTTTTCTTGCGGAGAGCTACCTCCCTTCCACAGTTTGAGCAATGACAATCCTTAATTGGCTCTCGAGATTATGTTTCAGGGCGGGACTCTTTCGATCTATCGATCCTTGAATCGAGACTTGTCGCTGGAGCAAAACTCGAGGGTGTTTCCGCTCATTCGCGGCTGTTCCTCAATCGAGCACACCAATGGCACTATCGGCATATGGTACGCGATGATGGATCCCCGAGATATCGAGGCTGGAAATTCGGATAAGCGGTTTCCTGCAGTCGGTCTTGGGCCGGATCGTCTCTCTAATCGAGACTCGCGACCCTGTTTTTCCCCTTGACGATTTTCGTCGTTTTCGCATGAAGCGGGATATTCTTTCTCCCGTCCGCCGATGCTTGCACATGGTAGCTACTCAATGGTGGCCAGGGTGGCCGGATAGAGGGGATGAAATACGTAATAGGTTATAGCATTCCGTGCGAATCATCATGAGAGGGAACATTTTTTAGAACATTTGGCTCGGTCGCTGTAAGTTCCCGTTTCTGAGGCTTCGCCTCATCCACGAATTATTCGCCCGGGGGGGAGTGCTCGCGGTGTAAACCGAGGAGCCCAGCTCGCTGCGGTGAAAACGTCCAAGTAAGAGATGACTTTATCCTTGAATGGAGACTTCATGAATTGCGTGCGGAATTCCTCGCGGAACAAGAATCCTTCCGTCGTGTTCCTCTCGTAATGCAGTTGAACACGATAGGAATTCGATCGAGGCCAATTCGATAGCGAGACGACGTCTGCGCTGAGTACCAAGCGAAGAGTATCAATGCAGATCCATTTGCCCCGCGAGCCCCTATCGACTTGGCATCGTCACCCCTCTCCCCTGCCGAGAATCCACCGCCGTGGCACAGCAGCTCCCTCCGGATGGGCTACACGACCCTTCTTCTCATCGGTTGGCTGACCGAGGTATGAGCAATATCCATCGACAGCGATGATTTTCATAATAGAATCTTCGCCTCATACAATAAATAATATTCTTGACCTGTCCGAGAAACTGCTACAAAGTCACAGGCGCTCATCGAAGTCGCTTCCGCTCAGAAGTCGATGGGATCAATACGTCGGCTGCGGAGAAATCGCATTCAGAGACTGCCAGCAGAATCCACTGAACAACGTGAAGCCTCTCTTTCGAGTTCGAAGCGTTGCGGGGCTGGGATCTCGTGTACGCTGCTGCGATTATCGATCGTCGGGACGCCTTCGCCGAGAACTCGTGCACTCCTTAGGCTCTCGCGTACCTATAAGGAGAAATACCTAGCCGGAGCTCTGGAGCCCCGCTGTGTGAGCGTGACAGGAACGCATGCCCGGAATTTTCTTGGAGATATGGTACCTTTCGCGAAAACCGACGCGCAACGTCTGGATAGGGTCGGGACGGGACTCCACCATGGGACTGAGACGTCAACATTAGACTTTTTCTCTATTCCTTGCTGGCAAGGGTGATCTCGGTCACAAAAATTCATGGATCTCTTGGGATATGTACGTACACCTCGCTGGCATGGGGAGCGAACTCGCTCCCGTGACTTGTCTCTGCTCGATTCGCTCTCGAATGCTGCAATGCTTGGAACTATCTAGGATGTGGGAAGTCTTCCAGCTGAGATGCCCTTGACCAACACTCCTACTGAGCTAGACGCCGTCCCATCGCCGATAGATGCGAAGAATGGACTTCGCCAACGAGTAATTTAGTCCGAGGTGCTCCGAGTCGATCTCCGGGGGAAAGAGCTCTGGAGCTCCGTAGGAGCGTTACACCGATATTATTAGACGATACCGGTTGAACACATGTTACGTGCGGAATTGGGCAGCGTGATCGAGATGTTCCATGGTCACCGATCTTTCCTCTCCATGCGAGTCTGCTCTCACTCAGAATCATCGGAACCTTCTTCGAGAAGGAACTGTGGGAGCAAGCTCAGTCGTGGTCTAGGCCTACTGTGCCCTTCGCCCAAAGAACCTCAGTGGTACCTATGCCCAGCCTTCCAATCGAGACCACGTCAATGAGGAGGTGCATGGGTTGCATCTGACACCTGATCCAAAGAGTGAGAGAGTTTCGAGTTTGCTGCTATCCGTCGGCTCCTGGTATGCTGCAGCGACAAGGTCTAAGGAACCGTGTTGCAAGACTTCTGATTGACCGCGGAGTGAGGTCACTCATGGCCGAAATTCCCTGTCATTCGGGGGAATGTGCCGCGTGGCCGATACTCTTACCTCACCTGAAGTTCGAACAATAGTATTCATCACATCATACACGGAGTCGCCTGCTGACGACGCCTGATTCCCCACCTTCTAAGGTGGGGAATTCGGCTCATGGGAAGATAGGAATGATTATTATTGATGACGACCATTCCCTCGGGAATATCAGGCTGAAATCTGCCCGGACGATGAGGTCTCTCACGAAGCGAGACGTTGAGATCGATTACACAGTCCATCCGCAGAAATCAGGCCTTACGTCGCGTCGTCGTCTCCCCCAAAGCGGGATGGGGAGAACGATTCTCTCCAGAGCCCTAAAGAGGTGCGATGGATTCCGAGTTCGCGTCCTTTTCCGTACCCGCTGGTTATCCATGGGAATCGCTCCTCGAGCAGGACTATGAAGGACATTGAAAACTCGCTCGCATATATGGGTTCTGCGAATGCGTGCGAGGTTCGTTATCGCACCGAATTGCGTAGTCGCTCGGTCCGACTGTTCTCCGGCGCTGCTCTACCCGAACTCCGGAGCCAAGGTCGCTCCCCCCTATATCGCATATTCGAGATCGATGTCTTGGTTCTGCGAATCCAACAAAAGCGGTCAAGTTTTTTCGGTAGAGACGCAAGTTCCGAGCTTCAGCGCGGCGGTACGAATTATTCCGGGGCGACCCCGGAACGATCGACATGTCGGAACGATCACAGACGTCCACCGATCCTGGGGAGTGGTGCAGATGACACTCTGGGTCCCGGTTCAGCCGGGAAGCGAGCATGAGGAGAAATCCAAATGTCTCTCTTCGTCGTATCAGAGATGACTCGGTAATTAACTTTGATTATAATTGGAGTGGAGAACGATCAAGCCACTGACGAAATTCGGCTTCCGAGGCATTTTTAGTTCTGGAGGGCGAATACGGAGGAGATCCGTATCGGGGTCCTGGGTGGCCACTGAAGAAGTCATCGGAATCATTCAGCCTAACGCATCTGAAGAGCACACCGAGGTCGGGAGGAGCCCCACAACAGGTGCCCCTTCCGGGTGATAGCCGCGCCGTGGTGCTACCTGGGTGCTCCTTCCGTGGAGGGAGTTCCGCAGCCTCGAACATGGGGCCGCGGCTCTCAGGAAGACGAAACTTTGAGGGTTTCCGATCGGCTCCTCGACGACTTTGAGCAGCCTCCACCCGATAGACAGCTCTGTCGCGCATGTCCCAGCATTCGACTTCCGAATACGACACCGACATTCGAAGCCACCCTTTGCCCCACGCGAGATTTCCGATTATGCATGGAGCACATTCTGACGAATATTGTTCATACAGAGAGCTCGAACTGGCACAAAGCCCGTCTTGTGTAGGCTCTGCAGGTACGAAGCAGGTATAGAACGGGAGATGTCTGGAGAGCTCTTAGAAAATTCTCCGAGACGTTTCTCAGAACTGTCTGAGCAGTTCTACTATTGAGTCGAACTCTCAATTCTGAGCAATGATCACTCAAGCTCTTCCCCGACGAGTATAAAATCCGCTCCGCACCAGCATCATGATGTCTGCAGCAGACACGAACGACTTTCGGCCCAGGGCCTGAACCAGCATCCCCCAGGGGGACGGTCGTGCGCAGCCGAGGGCTGCCTTACTCTAGGAGAGTTACTTGGAGTGACACGAGCCTCCCGCGGGAGGCCACTTTTTGTCCGATTTTTTTTCAGCGTGAGAGCCATGGGAGCAGCGATCGAGCTCTGAATCAGGATTTCCTAGCATCGTCGAGCCTCACAGGACAGGACTCCTCCATCCACAGACTCAAGAATGGCGGATATAAACCCAATCCTCTGAATATGCTTCGACTAAGAAAAGATTTCCATGGAGACGCCGGATTCCAGAGCGGGATTCCTGTCCTGGGGCAAAGCTCTCGATGACGCCCTCAAGTTTAAAAGAAAAGCCATGGTCGAGATCGGTACATGACGATTCGGCGCGGACGATTCGGCGCGAGACGATTCGGCGCGAGACGACTCGGCGCGAGACGATTCGGCGCAAAGGATGATTCGGCGCGAGACGATTCGGCGCAAAGGATGATTCGGCGCAAAGGATGATTCGGCGCAAAGGATGATTCGGCGCAAAAGATGATTCGGCGCAAAGGATGATTCGGCGATAATCAATGAGAAAGGAAACACAGGGATCCCAGGTCAAGTCATCTCACGTAATTTTATCATGTTTCTCACAAGCAAGGAAGGTTCTCAAACCGATAGAGAACTGGGAAGAAGGGAGGATGGTTTCCAGTGAGACTCCCGTGAGGATTAGTTTATCTTAATATGTATTTTTCACAAAGAAGGAAATGATAGATGGGAGGGCAACGGTGGATCAAGACACTAGAATCACAAGATTTTTCCAGTTGTCCATGAGGAAGTTGTTTGCGATCCCTCGCAGAAAGGCCACCGGCTCTCGATTCTCGATGGTACGGACCAACTCGAGCAAATTGGCGTCCGTATTCAGATATCTGCGTCTTTTTGGAGCCGGCGCAGATCCTATATTGTATCGCTCGAGCTCGGCGTCTGCCTTGTGCTGCACATGCCGAAGACCATCGATGAACTTCCAGATTGAAGGATGGCAGACGCCGAAAGCCCCCTGGAGTTTTCGATGAGCAGCTTCAGCGAAGTTGTTGGTGCGGCTTTCACCGTTGAGAGTCCTTTCATGGACCGACCACATATCGGAGCTGAAGAGCGGACTGTCCCTGATGACTGACCCATCTAAGCGAACGCTGAGTATGCGACCCACATACGTAAGCTCGAAGTAAGTGTAGACGGGTTTCAACTCTTCTGGTAAGACTTCCAGAAGAGCCATCATTGATCTGTCAAGGAGATCTTCTCTCACGAAGGCCATCGCCGGGATCATTCGAGACCAGAGCGAGAAATTCGAATCTGCATTGTAGCGTTGCAGAAGATTCAAGGACGATAGCTTTTTCTTCACATTTTTGACCAAATGGAATAAGCAACCGTGAATTTCGGCATTCGGGAAAGCCGCGATGAAAGCGTTGATGACAGCCATCTCGAAATCCATGGCGATCGAAGCTGGGTTCAGCGACGGGAAGGCTCCCATGACAAGATCGATCATGCGGCGGTACGAGTTTTCCGATTTGTTTGGAAGGAGGGCGTAGCAGAGCGGAATTGCATACCCTCCACGGTCAGCCAAAATGACGAAAACCTGCGCGAATTGATCCGGGGCTAAACTAAGAGTCCCGTCCACGTAGAGTCTCTGCACATAGCCAACCCAGCTAGACGCTGTTTCTCGGCCGAAAGCCAAGATGCGCTCCTCGTCCCCGATGCCCGAATCGCCTAGGAGAAATCGTTCTGAGCTCCCTGACTCGCATTCGTACGTAGTGTAGGCCTCGGGCAAGACTATCGAGGCTCGGTCATTTGGACACGCTGGCGCTTGAGAATTTTGGCCCCGCAGCCTGTTGATTCTCCTCTTTATAGATTCGTGTTTCGGGAGGCATCCCTGACCAGCGACTGTTAAACCAGCCGTGAAATAATTGAGCAGCTGGGCGGGAGCTTCTTGCGTTGTGAGTGCACGACGCCTGAGTCCGGAGTTACTCGCAACCACCTCTACAAAGGCTGCATCAGCCGCATCGCTGTGCTCCCCGATCGATTTGACAATTTCGTCGGTTCCTACAGCTGTGTGCAACCGAGCTTTGCACTTATCCTTGAACTCGCAGCGCCAGAATTGCACAGTGCCCGACGAGTTCTTCCTATCCTGAGTATACATGTGTCCCTGGTAGGCGAGCTTACGCTTCCCGCGTTCTGTTTCGATGATCCTCGGGGTCTCGAAGTTCGACTGAGAGTCCATCGCTGATTGTGAACGGGGAAGACCGCAGATCTCAAGAGATAAGGGTAGAAGGTAGGCGAAGTCGGGAAGAGAAGACTCGAGTTGCCGTTGTTCGGATTCAACTCATGTTTATTTTTTTCGACGACGGACGTTCGATTTTGCTCGGATCGGAGATCAGAGCGATGGGGCTGCGCGAGCGGAAAGAAAGCTGAGAATGACTAAGCTCGAACGGAAAGAAATTACGCGAAGGATTGACTTAAGGCCACGGCCTCCTCAGAGTTCTTGTCTGCGATTTCTGGCGGAAACACTGATACGCAGTTGCGATGTCGAAAAGACTGATCAGAGGCATCCCAGCACTCAAAGCTAATGTATTCAGAAACGGGACCTGCAAGCATCAGGTGCACACGTGGAACCAAAATGTTACCGATGTTCCTCACTTCACTGCGCACAACATTAGGATTTGCGAGGTTTGCAGCGAAAAGTAGACCGTGAAATTCGACTTCACTCTGACGATTCCGTCGCTATACCATCGTTAATTTTTCTCAACCGTGATATGTTTCCTCTTCGATCGCTAAGCGACCGGATCCTTTCTATCCAGCGCTCCGGATTTACCTTTGCGCCGAATCATCTTTCGCGCCGAACCATCCGTTGCGCCGAATTGTCCGGCGCCGAATCATCCTTTGCGCCGAATCGTCTCGCGCCGAATCGTCCTGCGCCGAATCGTCTCGCGCCGAATCGTCCGCGCCGAATCGTCCTGTTCCGGTCGAGATTGGGGTGTTCTCCCACCATGAATTTGAAGAATTCCACGGAGTCGTTTTAGGAGATTTCGCCTATTCGGGTCCCCTGGGCGAAATCAACCTCGTCTTCCTCTCGCTGCGTGGAATTTGTTCTGAGCGGACGCATGCTGAAACCATCCGACGAAGTCCCCTTCGAGGATCTAAATTTCGGGCATTTCCAGAACATCTTGGGATGAGACTCACTCAGACTCAGAGCTTCGGGAGTTTGCTCTATTTCCAAAGGTGGAATGATTTCTCTGGAGAAAAATGCGTGTGGTCTCATCGAGGTGGGCGCAAACAGCGTCTCCCAATTCGATTCAATTATTCTGATCGACATTTTGGAGAGAGAGAAGAAGACGCTCGCGTATGAGCTAAGACCGTCACGAGAAGCTGTCGAAGGCTCTCCCGCACCCGTTGGACTCACACGGGAGAGGATAGGAACGTTCTAATCTTACGAACTATACGTCAATCAGGAATGACAAACGATTCTAGTTCAGTCCAGATTCCCCTAACGCAGCCGCGTAGGGGATCATCTCGGAAATCATGCTGGCACCGCTCAATCTGTAGGGCGATGGTGAGAGTTTCCGGGGATGAGAAATCGAACACGAGATTCGTGATGGCTCGAGAGGGAATTTTTCGAGCGCGAGGCCGAGGATTGCTGATCCGGACGGTTCGCGCAGCGCTGCTTGATCGAATAGACGAAACTTTGAGGGTTTCCCATCGGCTCCTCGACAACTTTGAGCAGCCTCCATCCGATAGACAGCTCTGTGGCGCAAGTCTCAGCATTCGACTTCCGAATACGACACCGACATTCGAAGCCACTCTTTGCTCTTCGCGAGAATTCCGATTATGCATGGAGCACGTTCTGACGAATATTGTTCATACAGAGAGCTCGAACTGGCACAAATCCCGTCTTGTGTAGGCTCTGCAGGTACGAAGCAGGTATAGAACGGGAGATGTCTTGAGAACTGTTAGAAAATTCTCCGAGACGTCACTCAGAACTGTGTGACCAGTTCTACTATTGAGTCGAACTCTCAATTCTGAGTGATGATCACTCAAGCTCTTCCCCATCGAGTATAAAATCCGCTCCGCACCAGAATCATATTGTCTGCAGCAGACACGAACGACTTTCGGCCCAGGGCCTGAACCAGCTTCCCCCAGGGGGACGGTCGTGCGCGGCCGAGGGCTGCGTTACTCTAGGAGAGTTACATGGAGTGACACGAGCCTCCCGCGGGAGGCCACTTTTTGTCCGTTTTTTTTCAGCGTGAGAACCATGGGAGCAGCTATCGAGTTCTGAATCAGGATTTCCTAGCATCGTCGAGCCTCACAGGACAGGACTCCATCCACAGACTCAAGAATGGCGGATATTTTCCCAATCCTCTGAATATGCTTCGGCTAAGAAAAGATTTCCATGGAGACGCCGGATTCCTGAGCGGGATTCCTGTCCTGGGGCAAAGCTCTCGATGACGCCCTCAAGTTTAAAAGAAAAGCCATGGTCGAGATTGGGGTGTTCTCCCACCATGAATTTGAAGAATTCCACGGAGTCGTTTTAGGAGATTTCGCCTATTCGGGTCCCCTGGGCGAAATCAACCTCGTCTTTCTCTCGCTGCGTGGAGTTCGTTCTGAGCGGATGCATGCTGAAACCATCCGACGAAGTCCCCGTCGAGGATCTAGATTTCGGGCATTTCCAGAACATCTTGGGATGAGACTCAGACTCAGAGCATCGGGAGTTTGCTCTATTTCCAAAGGTGGAATGATTTCTCTGGAGAAAAATGCGTGTGGTCTCATCGAGGTGGGCGCAAACAGCGTCTCCCAATTCGATTCAATTATTCTGATCGACATTTTGGAGAGAGAGAAGAAGACGCTCGCGTATGAGCTAAGACCGTCACGAGAAGCTGTCGAAGGCTCTCCCGCACCCGTTGGACTCACACGGGGGAGGATAGGAACGTTCGAATCTTACGAACTATGCGTCATTCAAAAATGACAAACAATTCTAATTCAGTCCAGATTCCCCTAACGCAGCCGCGTCGGGGATCATCTCGAGAATCATGCTGGGACCGCTCAATCTGTAGGGCTATGGTGAGAGTTTCCGGAGATGAGAAATCGAACACGAGATTCGTGATGGCTCGAGAGGGAATTTTCCGAGCGCGAGGCCGAGGATTGCTGATCCGGACGGTTCGCGCAGCGCTGCATGATCGAAAAGACGAAACTTTGAGGGTTTCCGATCGGCTCCCCGACGACTTTGAGCAGCCTCCATCCGACAGACAGCTCTGTGGCGCAAGTCTCAGCATTCGACTTCCGAATACGACACCGACATTCGAAGCCACTCTTTGCTCTACGCGAGAATTCCGATTATGCATGGAGCACGTTCTGACGAATATTGTTCATACAGAGAGCTCGAACTGGCACAAATCCCGTCTTGTGTAGGCTCTGCAGGTACGAAGCAGGTATAGAACGGGAGATGTCTTGAGAACTGTTAGAAAATTCTCCGAAACGTCTCTCAGAACTCTGTGACCAGTTCTACTATTGAGTCGAACTCTCAGTTCTGAGTGATGATCACTCAAGCTCTTCCCCATCCAGTATAAAATCCGCTCCGCACCAGGACCCTATTGTCTGTAGCAGACACGAACGACTTTCGGCCCCGGGCCTGAACCAGCTTCCCCCAGGGGGACGGTCGTGCGCGGCCGAGGGCTGCGTTACTCCAGGACAGTTACGTGGAGTAACTCGAGCCTCCCGCGTGAGGCCACTTTTTATCCAATTTCTTTTCAGCGTGAGAACTATGGGAGCCGCTATCGAGCTCTGGATTAGAATTTTCTAGGATCGTCGAGCCTCACAGGACAGGACTCCACCCACAGACTCAAGGGTTTTTCCCTGATCGAATCGACGCTTTATGCGGTCGCCCGGTTTCATTGTCCTTTATCAGGGGTTCTTGCTCCCATTTCCATCTCCAATCGATACGTCGATTGGAGTTCATTGAGATGATTCGGATAGCGGGGAGAGGTTCCGGAGCGAAATTCGTGGACCGCACTGGCCCATTTCCATGAGTCCTCAATCCTCAACCAGCCAACGAATCACGATTTCCCTGACGATGAATGAGCTCCGGCATCTAAACTCGCGCGGTTGGTGCCTATATCAGCTGAGAGCGGCGGGGGCTCAGCGATGTATGTGCTTCACTGAATGCGCCGCCGAGAACCCGAGGGAGGAGGGCAGCGTCTGTTTTTTTCCTACATCGAGCAAGTCTGACCGGTGGAAGTGACAACCCGTCCAAAGGCCGCCGACGTTCATATTGCTTGGGACGCAATATGGCTCATTGGAGTCGATCGGGTGTTGGCGGAGGGACGTTCCGTTCTTTCGGTTCCTTGTCGAATCTTGAGCTTAAGTATCGTACGGACTAAGGATTAGAAATCCGTAATCTACGAGCATGAAGGGAGAACCGAACTCGACTAGAACATGAACTTGACGATGAAGGTTTCCGTCGCCGCCGCGCGACACGTCTGTGCGTCCGAACTGCGCATGGAACGGAGGCTTGTTGGACCCCTTCCCACTCTTCGTCTCCAGATCCATAGTACCAAGCGGAGGTTGGGAGCCAGGGAAGGATGCGTCAGCCGCTGCCAATCGTTGGTGATTGAGGAGGCAGGCGTGAGAGGCTTTCGAGGGAGAAGTCTCGAGAAGTTTTCGAGGTACTTCCGAATCGAGGCATGATTCAAACGAGAGCTCATATTCTCGCCAAGCCACAGAGGGGACATTATCGGCAACCTCTCGTTCGGAGCTTGTTTCTGATCCTGCTCTTGAAGTTCCTCTTTCTTCCTCTCATTTCCCGTGGACTCAGGAGAGATGTCACCAGACGCAGGAGCCCGTGTGGCAGGTCGAAGATCTCTTGGACAAATGAGACGATCAGGGAAGTATCGGTGAGCGCGTATTCAGCCGTCGGTCACTGAGTCGCTGAGTGTTCACCTACGGCATGAGTTGGCTCTCAGCAAGGGTGGGCTTAGCGTGTCTCTGCATACGTATCGTCCTCTCCAATATATCCAGAGCGGGGGGAGAAAGGAACGCCTTTCTTCAGACCATGCATTCAATGCTCTGATCTGGTCACCGTATAAACGTGCAATTTTCGCTAGTTTCGTTCACCTCGACGCGAGTCGGTGTCTCTAATAGACTCTAGAGTTTATAAGATGAGCGCACAGTCATGTTTCCGAGAGGAGTTAGTGATCGACGAATTCACCGATGATAATTTGCGAGAATGGACTAGTCACCCTGTGTGATGTATAGTGCGGTGCGACTACCTTGAATTGAAGCGGGGAAAGACAGTAGGGAGGGAGATGACGATTTTTAGGACAAAGGAAATATTGTCGCTGTCAAGTCGAATTCGGCGCGCGTCGCTAGTCTTGCGGATCCTTCGCATCATGCCAACGTCCACAGTTCCCACGAAGGGAAAAACAATGTTAGTTGGGGTAGCCTTGAACGGGAATGTTCGAAGGTAGCGTTCTCGAAGATCTGGGGTGAGCCGCGATTCGACGGGTCGTCAGACGACAGAAAATCCTCGTTCCTCGCTTTCCGAATTCTGCGGTTCGCTGCAAGATGATCATTGGCAATCTGTAGCCGTAAGCAAGGGGTTTCCTAGGTGAGCCATCGAAGCCGGTCTCTCGCGAACCGAATAACTTCCCCGACGTCGGCTGTCTCCGGCCCCACAGAGGAGAACATGGAGATCCCGAGAAGGCTTTGCGAGGGAGCCAGGCCACATCAGGAGCGTGGAATTGATATCCCAAGCACCTTCATACATATATCGTGAGCATGAGCTTGACTGCGGATATTCCAGGCTTCGTGCATATGATCGGATTGATCGCTTTGACGATCCTCTACAGAATGAATAGGCTGTAATTTTTTACATGAGCTCTTTTCCCCGCGCAAATCCTCCCTATGTTGACAAGAATTCTTTTGCCACCTCAGCTCAAGCTGACTCCGACGAGAGCCTTCGACAAGGGACCGGACCAATGAAAAATGGTTCTCAGCAAGACTCCAAGAATCCACGCCGAGTCCACATACTCAAGACTCTTCTCCTGCCTTGACCTCGTCGTTGAGATTCTTGTAGTTGGGATAGCCTTCGACTTGGGTCCATCTGTAGCACATACTGGAAAGGAGGAGCGGCAGATGAGGGGAGCGGATCGAAACTTTGAAATGTTCGTCATGATTCATGATTTAGGCGATGCATCCGATGATTACTCACAAAGCCACTGCCATTGGGATTAGGAACACCACACCTTCCACGAGGTACACCAGGCCCGGGAAGAAATCTAGGGTCGAGTTGTAAATTGCGGTGACTCCGATATCAGCTATCGCGGGTACCAAACTCTCGCAAGCTGAAATCAACGCGAAAACCACAGCCACCTCGTGCACTTCCAAGAGCCGCGAGATGTGTGAACGTACTGCCGTCAGCCCCACGATGAACGGCAAGCCCACGATGGAAGCTGCAGGGGAGATATATTGTCAGCGTAAGCAGGAACTACCGACAGTTTCACGTATGGATAGCCGGACATGATGAATAGGCGCTGACACCGAAGCACACAGATTATGCTTACGAATTATGAACATGGAGACTCCCAGACTCAGAACGCTCATGAGGGCAGCCTTCAGCGCCACGGATGCGAATCCGAGCGTAACAAGCATCGGATCAGAGAACTTGAACACCTTTGTAAGAATTAACATCGAGGGAATCGAGAGGACGAAGGTGATCAGCATAACGACCGCTTTCAACACTCCGTACAGATCTGACGACCATCCAAATGTTTGGGTAACATATAATTGGTCTAGGTCGGCGGTTCCTGGAAGATCCAGCTCTGTGTAATAGATAGCCATGTTTCGGCATTCGACCGAGGTCGTCACTGCACCCGATCAGTCGACGGTGAAGGGTTGGCAATCTACCCGAGTTGATGATCCGGGGCTCGGGGAGTCACTCGTTTCCGAATATTGAAGTCTTTGATATCGATAGTCGCAATTAGGATATTCGGATGCTCACCAGTGAATGCGATCACCCCGAGTATGAGACAAAAAACCATGGAAATTATTTGAATTTTCGCATGTCCCGGACGCTTCCTCTTCAAAAACGAGTAACTCATCTTGAAGGTTTCGAGGCTCGTCGAATGCCTCCAGGCTTCGAGAAGCGTTTCTTTCCGGGCGCTTTCGGAAACAGCTGGAAGGAATAGTGATTCGCCTAGAATCCTCGCAAGAATTAAAACCACGTCATTGGACGCAGGCCAAGAGCGATCCTAGTGCGTCGCGTTGTACTATCCCATCATCTGGTCACAGAGAGGACCGGTAATTCGGTTCAGAGTGATCAAAATTACCTGTGTCTTCGTACAGCCAGAGCAGCATCGCAAGAGAAACCGCGAAGCCAAAGAAGATCAACGCAGCTAAACATGCGACTCCGGAATGCTTCTCCACGTATCCGCCGAGGAATGTTCCGAGGAGCATGGGTAAGAAGATGAAGAATTGGATCATCAAGAATCGCTCCTTCCTTTCTTCCGACGGACAGGTCCAGGTCACACTCGAGAAGATCGCCGTCATGAACACAATGATTCCACCTGGAAAAAGGGAATTTATCGTTAAGATTGCGGAAGAATTTATCATTGAGAATCGCTTCTGCTTCCCGCGTAAGACATGATGGTTTTCATCTACGAGGAAGAGAACGATTGTATATCGCGATCCTGATGCGGGAGCTTTCGCTAAAAAAAATACGACGTTCGTTCTGTAGGAATCGAGCAGGACATCCGTAAGTTCTCTAGGAGATCAAGTACCGGTCAAAGCCTGGGGTATCGCCGTGAAGATGTTGACGTAGAGCGGTATGTCTCTCTGGATGAAGGTGTACAGGTCCGCCGTCAAGCTGACGAGAGACCCGAGGACCGCGAGAATCAAAGGAAGTTTAGCCCCGTAGCGAGTCATATACTGTCCGGCGATAACCGAGCATATCGCACCTAGAAGTTATTTAATAATGAATTATGAGATATTTGCGAAGAGCCCATCCCGGAATCGAGGTCCTGGCTTCGACCTCGACTCGTCCAAAACTTCCTCCGCATTGAGATTACCTGGAATCGATGACACTATGTCTCTCGCGAGAGCCGTAGTTTTCGTGATTCTCGCTGCTGCGACGTAATAATCGTGGTTTATCACGTTCGTTATTCTGTCACAAATTGAGTCGTTCAAGTGTAAATTCAACACGCAAGCCTTCTCGAGAAAAATCTGTGTTCGTGGAGTCGTGATGATCGTAGATGAGAACATGAAGAACATGAAGATAATCTCCATCAAATGCTTTTGGAAGATATTCATCTTTCCGTAGCGCTGAGACAGTTCTGCCTCCCGGATGGCTTCGGGATCCGACAAGGCGAAAGTCTGGTGCGATCCATCCGGGACGTCGTGACCCCGAGGGGCTTCGGCCTGGATGCTTCCGCGGTTGTCATTTCCGTCTCCACTCTGGAAGCAGCATGAATTTTCCTTGAGTAGTTCCGTTCAGACACGATCTCGAAGATGCAGATTCACTGAGACTATTTTCATCCTCGATGCTCATCTCGTCACTCACTTCAGACATTCTGATTGGCAGTTTTTCCGACCGAATCAGGACCGATGATAGGAGCCGCCTCTCGAACAAAGCTAACCGAGAAATACCTCTCGTCAGTTGTCTCGTGAGAGATGATTTGGTCTCGCTTAGCTTGGCGACCGGAAAATGAGAGCAAGCGAGCACCCGGACTGTGGAGCGATTGACGCGGAGGGAAAAACTACGCTCGACAGGGAAGCCGATGAGGGAGACGTTGCCGATGCGGCTCAATACTATCTCTGGAGCCCTTAATCCCCGGATGAGACTCAGCTGATCAGTGTCCGACAAGGGAGAATTTCTCTCATCAGTCTCAGTCTTTCTCAGTTCTAAGTTCTTGGCGGTCGCTCGCGCAGGCACCCTTGCATTGACTTATCTTTTGAACGATTAGCGAGCATTCTTCCATAAGCTCTATGATTTTGTGGGAATCGGAAACGTTGGAGGGAAACAAGATGGTTACAGTGCTCGTGGATGAAAATTTATTGTAATCAATTCTGATCTCAATTATTATCAACAATAATGATCCCCATAAGTTGTTGTGACTGGGAGAAGAACGCTATTCGAGGCTGAAGCGGTGAGGGATTCGGAGGCAGCAGCAGGGAGCTCTACGAGAGCGGCTAGATGATTCCCACCCCCGAACGTACGCAGATTTCTTACTCGGTGAATGGTTCCCGTCCGGGGTGGGCCGGAGTCTCTAAGTCAGAGATCCGGCGACCATAAGCTTAAAACTTCGAAGCCTCGTCGTCAGGGTCACGCACGGGCTCTCGCCTGAATTACTTTGACGGAGACGCCTGCAAAGAACTTCAGAACGCCACTACAGGAATATCATGAGGGGGAGTCTTAGGTCCGTGTCGGGAACCGACGATTGGTGAGCAGGGAATTCGGTACCGGTAGTTTCTTCTGACTTCTGCAACGGTACTTTGAGGATGCACCCGTAACAGATGGAATGTGAAATGTTGTTCATGCGGACTTCAAGCGGGAGGCCCAACTCTAGCCGTTCTGAGGGAAGCCCTGTCGATCCCTCGGAGGATAGGCGTAGAATCTGAGGGAGGGATTGCCTGATACAGAATCAGGTGAAATCATTTGAGAAAAGAAACAGCGAGACATGCATAGTCATGCCGTGAAGGGGAAGCATTATTCGAGAGGAAGAGTCGAGACATGCACTTGAGATGCCTTATGTGCGTTCTGCTTGAACTCTCGGGCTCCAGGAATACATATGTGGTGAATCGTAGAGTCCTCTCAATTGGTTCACATCGGGACCGACCTATTCCAGCCGGAATGAGTCGGACTAAATTACGCTGGAAGACATGTTTGGGGAGTTGCGCGATCTGGTCCGCATATGCGGACGGTCCGAATATCGAGATAGATCGCTGATGAGTGAACCCCTGAACTTGCAGGTCTGCTGAATGTTCAAATGAATAAGAAAATAAATTGTTCGAGTGATTTTCGATTTCTTCTGACTGCTTCGATCTTCATGCACGGGTACGTGCAGGCTCAACTAGGAACGGAGAATGAAGGATTAGGGTAACTGACTGAGCCTGAGGGCAAGCCAATTAGCGACGCGAATGAAGAAACAACTCATAGCCCGATGCGCTGGACACTTGGCTCGGGTAGGGAGTGTTGATGAAGTCAGGCAACGGTGATACGGTGATGAAGATATCTCGAGAACACGCAATGTCATATCAGGCCGGAACGAATTGTACAGCAAGAGGCGCTTGCATATTGATTTCTCCCCCGGGCGACGCGGTTGCAGTCGCTTCTGACGCTATTGGGAGTTCCGTCTGAGGCAGAACGACAGATTCGGTCCTCCCTCCGGATCTGAATTCCTTGCGACAGCAATAGCAGCAGAAGCAGCAGCAGCAAATCACTACCGTGACAGCAACGGCAGCGACTAACGTTCCGACCGAGATGAAACGGCGGCTCGACGAAATCGGTGTCGGGGTGTAGGCCAACCAGCATGAACCTGTGGCGATTTCGAGAGAGTTTGCCGGATTAATTCTCCTGCTGAAATTTCGTTCATTTTCGAACGGTTCACCGTGCTAGTTCAGGTTTTTCTTGCTTCTTCGAGGCTCGGCCTTCTCTCGAGACATCTCTGCCTTGACAATCGCAATCGGAATCAGAATCGCATCGCGACAAATGAGACTCACCCTCATGTGCGCAGCTGTTCAAAACCGTTTCTCCCGTGCAGCTCATGTCGAGGCTCGAGATTCTGAAGCCTGGCCCCCGGAACGTCGCTTCATACTTGAAGGCTTTTGTTATGGGTGAGATGCCGAGTCCTAGAACGATGAAGAATGTGATTGAAATGGCCTCTTATCCACAAGTCCGATTCGTACCTAAAGACTGACTATGCAGATGGTCTACTCGAATCGCTCTCGGCGATCAGGGGTATATCACAACATTTCGAAGCCCAAGGACAAGAACACGCGTCAGGCGACAGAAAAATCTGCGAGGAATCGAGGAGCTCAAATTCACGCTTCGTACTCAAATTCGTGCACTCGACCGATGAAAGTCCAGCTGCAGGGTTATCACAGTGCGGGGAGCCGACGCATTGCAGCTGTGGAATCTTCTGACTCGTGAGCCGACCATCGCGAAATCGCAGAATCGACGTACGCTTCAAATCGAACATGGAATCTGTAACGCAGGCTTATCTTGTAGAAAAAGATTCACCTCTGAGATTCTCGCGCGATCTGCAATCACTTCACAGATGTGTAGATCGTTCCCATGCAAGGGAATTTCCCGGGCAAGGGCATCTGCGAAGAGGAGGATGCATAACTCACCTGAGCATTCCGAGTATGCTCGGGCGAGTGCACAAAGCACGGGCAAGATGAAAACCTGGGCTCGAGAGATCATTGCGCTTTGCGATGCTCTGACGCGAGCTGAGCGTCCTGACACCGAGCCGAGAATGTGATCGAGTATCCGATGGACATCCGAGTGCTGAAGCGTTGGAATTCTCTTTGCCACCACTCTGTCGAGCACTCTGACTGATACCGTTCGATGCAGTCGCGGTATCCATTCGCACGCTGCTCGCACTTTAGGAGAAATGGCGATCCTCCGGTTCAGAGTCGACTCGAAAACTTCCGCCGCATGGAAATCAGCGGATAGGGGTTCCGCGGAAGCCCACTCGAAGAGGGGAAGCGAGAACTATGCGGGAGAAGGTGTTGTTGGATTATGATATGGTGTCGCCGTCGCCAAACCACCGATGCTGCCGTCCGTGTCGGTGGCGCGTCAGATTTCCTTATCGTGCGGATCTTCCCTCCGAAGAAGCGGTCCTTGCTGATGACATCGTCTGGAATTATCCAAGGCTTCATGAAGCCTCCCTTCCCGGGGCTTATCGGGGCGCTCGCTAGGACCGAATAGAGCGTGATTCATGCAGCCGACCTGTGATCGCCACCGAGGAGCACTGAACATGCAACGGCAGCCATCCTCGTGTCTCCCTGGTTCTGCTGAGGTCCCCAACCGAGAATCCGCAGAGAAGACGCCACAAATCTTTTTTTTGGCCCATCAAGCGAAGAAAATTATTGAAGGCCCGCCATACGGCTCTAAAGAGAGCCGCATTGATCGGAACTGGCCTAGATCAGCAGAGCAACAGAATTCCTTCAGCTATCCACGAATTGATCCTTTGCCCCATTCATGACTTGGAGTTCCTGAGCAGATCTTCTCTGCCGAGTCTAGCGCGAGAAAGACGGGAAGTTCATGGCCGTCCAGGAGTCGAGACAAATGGGATCGAACCGAGACGTTCAGAACCGTGAACGGCACTCCCGGGACGATCTTTGAAAGCAATCTGCAACGATGATCTCATGCCTCGTACGCGTCGACACTGATCTGTTATAAGAGAACATCGCGTTCTGGCCTCGAATGCGAGCTCGAACTCACGGACGTATTGGACGTCGAGACTCAGCTTCGCGAATGCGAGCCGTCCATAGTTCAGGGCATAGCAGAAAAACAGGCTGCCACCATTTCAGGATCAGACGTTTCCAGAACGTCGCTGAAGAACCACATGCTCCGGATCGCAACGAGGATCGTCAAGGCTCTCGCTACGGCGCCTATGGCCGTGATCACTTCCCATTTGTAGGTATCATTGACGTAGAAGTACTTCGGCTCAGACGTTCCTGAGTTGGATGAACGTTCGTCAGTGCGATTCGGTCTCCGGAACGCGGGTGCGGCGCTTGTCATTCATCGACAGTGGGAACGGCGTCGGCGCCTTCCTGATGATCCAATGATTGAAATCATCAAACAGACGAACGAGGAGTAGATCTGGGCTCTAGGCAATAGCTCTTTCTCCCCAATCATATGAGAGAAGCTCTTCTTGATAACGGTCCATCAGATGCCGCTATCGTCGCTTATATTTCTCAGCGACCGACTGGAGCCAAAGGAACTATTTGTCTAGCTACTATTCAAATCCGAGCTTACCTGGATTGGCGTGGAATGGCAGTACAGCGAGCAGAGGAAGCTCGCCAAACGGCATCACTATCAATTGTAACTCTGTCATGCGGGAGAAATCGAATCGGAATCCACCGAGGGATATCACCATCGACAAGAGCACGAGCATGAACGATCAGAAACCTTGTTTTCGTTTCTCCGGCAAGCTAACCAGCGTGATCTGCGAGTACAATGCAGTGCTCAAGACCATCATCCCGCCTGGAATACTTGAGCTCCGAATGAAATCCACCGCGTCGGAGCCCGAAACCTCAAACTAGGTCGGATGATAATTTAGCCGTCATGGCTGAAGGTATATCAACTAGTCCATTGTAGAATAAGGCTAGCTGCAACTCGAGGCAATCGGACTCTTCATGCCGTACCGCGGCATATGTTGACCAGTAATGAAGGGAACTGCGGCACCTGGAAGAGGCGGAGTCTGTACTACATGACTACCGCTCAAGAAGGGGAATTTCTGATCGGCTGACTGGTGGTGATGCGGTCAGTCGGACTGACCTGGAAGAGTCGAAACAATAATCTTCATAGCACTGTAATAATGAGTGACGTCCTGTACCTCTTCTTAAAGGGCGTCATCGTCCTCGAAGTGACTGCATTCCGATACATTTTGAACCAACTCGTGCAGACAAGCTTCCTGCATGTGGACGTCGGTGATGGGGCTTACCGAGAGATTTTTCGGGGGAAGGAATAACAAGTGGATTATACCGAGCCCATATTTCTCCGCGATCGTGATCTGCGAATATCTCTCATCCAGGCGGGCCTCCAACTCAGGACCTCGTCCCTCTCGTCCCCCAAGAGGAGCGGGTTCCCGCCGGAAACTGGGCATCATCGACACTGGGAGAGCTGGTGTCTGTTACGGTCATTTGATCGATGTTTCAAAAGCAGCGCTTCGTGGAGTGAAAAGCTACCAGTGGACGGCTTGTTGTTTGCCTACACAGAAATATATCGATGTGGACACAAGTCCCCAAGTAAATGAGTCATGCGACCTCGGTGGTGCAATATGTATGAACATCCATGACTCTACGTCCTCTTGGGAAAAATCTGTTCGAGCACAGTCACCACGATTACAGTGGAGCAGTTGCTGGAACGCGGCTGCTTTTTCGGAAAGAAGGAACGGTGAGGGCGAGTACATACGAGCGGTATTCGGTGCTGTCGAATCCTTGTGATGCTCAGCGCGGCAGAGCGGGATAGACGGAGTCATTTGGAGAGAAATCCGGAATGTGATAGCTCAAAACATCCCCTCTTTGAGTCGAATAGAAACGTTCGAATTGTCGTCGGTCTATGGTATCCGATTCGAACTTGGTACGTGCCGATGCTTGAGAGACGGGACTCTCGCAGCTCCGAATCTGGATGACTCATGTGTGACAGTCTGTTTCCAAGCCATGGGGATCTTCTGTGCTCAGTCGCCTATCGCGACTGCATGGTCGGAGGATACAGTTTCAAAAGCCGCGGTATTCCGACTCAAATTTCCGTCGATCAGAATTACGAGTCTTGGGCATTGTGTCTGTGTATTTCCGGGATCTCGAGGGTCCTCCGCGACTCATCGAACTGTTTGGGGGTGAGTCGCCGCCTGAATATTGCCGCTTTCGCTCTGAGCCCCTAAATTGCTTGTCCCTTCCTGAACCCCTCATCATCATTCTTTCTACCGAAAGATGGGTGACGGAGGCTTTGTTCACTTCGGAGTGTCTACCGGATAGATGTTTGCCGGAAGTTCATTTCCCAAAACCGAGCTGGAACCCCAAATTCGCGTCCCTCATCGATCCGAGGAACACCGTACATATTCCTCTGGACTCTAATAGTCTCCAATACACGGGCTCAATGGTCGAAAGATAGACGGGCATGCCCTCCAATTCGACCGATTACTTCTCTGTCGTAGTCTCTGACTACGTTCACCTTCCATATCGGAGGAGGGCTCACGCGGAGTTCTATCGCCCCCTCTTCTCTGGGAATCAGTGGGTCTGCCTCTGTTTCCATTGAGATTGACGTACGTCGGCGTAGCATCTGCTGTCTTCGTTTATCGACTATCGCTCTGACTCTGCGAGAGATAGCATGTGTAGGAGGAGTCTGAGATATGCTCCGTCTAATGCATCAGTCGGGTCCGTGTTATTCGCCGAGAGTTTCCTGATCTCGTTCTGCGGAAAAACAGTCGAAACATCGATATGATCGGCCTCAGCGGAGTGCAAGCTCATCAGAAAGCTGCGAGAAAATTCAAAATTTGGCGCGCTCCGCTCGATCAAGTTTCGTCATTGTTTACCGTCGGCTTCACACAACGTACCAGCTCTTTGTGTTAGACGAGCTCCATTCTAAGTGGGATGAAAATAGAGAGTCGCGCATCAGCGGTTATCACCGCTCTTTGAGGAGCACTAGCAAGTGACGAGGATCGAGTTCTCGTCCGAACGGAAGCTGTCAGCTTGACAGAAAAAACTTCGAATGCGCAGGTATTTTGTCCCGTCGTCACTCGCAACGGAACTGACATTCCATGAGCGGGGCTACCCGGAAGCGATGTCAGGGCGAATCGGGGGAGCGCCTGAGGACGAGCACCCCGACCTTGACGGCTGCTGTAAAATTCAGCTTGTCTTCTCCGATGTTCCAGAGTCCGAGCAATTTTAGGGATATACAAGACATATATCATTCACCCGCACAATGTTGCAAAACGCCGCGAGCAATAAGTACATGGAACGACTCCTTCTGGGGGAGATAGAGAACCTTCGGAGGAAGGGGAAACTGATCAAAGAAGCCGTAGAAGACTACGTACAGCGCGTAGAAGATGAGATCCGAAAAGGGATTTCGTACAATCTACAAAATCAATACACAGAGGTGAGTTGCACCGGTTTTTCGCCTAAAGAGCTCATGCATCGATTCGATCGAGTTTCACTTCAGTCCTCCGGGAAGCCGTCTCAAACTCGGTACAGTTGCAGAAGATTTTGATGAATTCCGGCCAAACTTTGGACGGACTCATCATTGGTCTCTCGACCATGGTTCCTAGCCCTGGGGGCCACACTTTCCTCCCAAGCCTTGGAGACGTTCCGAGGCAAAATTTGATTTCCGGAACGGTAAGAATGGGCTTCGCAATTGAGCTACCAGATGTCTGTGAACTTGTCGTTTCTTCCTACATTCGCGAAGTCTACATTCGCGAATCACCTCGCAGGGATCGATGACTGAGTGGAGCTCCAGAGACTGCACTGCTTCGAGAAGAACGTCGTCGCCTGATATTGTCGAGACTCAGATACAGACTCCCAGTGAACGTCGAAGCTCGTCGTCGTCGTCGACGACATCATCCAACCGGCCTCCTCCGAAAGCACGCGTGAGTTCGAACTTGACGTCCCTTGAATTCAGGTGAAAATTCTCGACCGGACATGTCGTGTACATTTCTCGGGACATGTTTCATTGCAGACGCCGAACGCGGTGAAAAAGAAACAACCGCTACGATCGACGGTAATTGACGAATTTTCGATGGAAATTCCGGACTCTGCCACAATGTTGAATGTAGACGCCCCGGAGTTCAGACCCAATGGCCACGGCGCGCCTGGTGAAAGCATTCCCGTCAATTCAGCCGGAGACTCCGATGGAAAAATCCCACGGGAGCGGAATTCAGTTTCCCCAGAGCCCGAAGGGAATAACGCCAACGAATCGGGAGTTTCGGAAGCTTCGGACAATCATCATGGGTCTAGCGAGAGCAGCCAATCGACGTTTTCGGTGTCGTCATCGTCGAGTGCGCCGCAAATTCTGACAAGTGCTAGTTCCGTAGAGAGTTTTCTGACTCCCCCCGGAACAGGGTCGGAGCTTCGGCGAAACGGTGTCGATCATGGTGCGGGCAGAACGACAACGAGCAGGAGCGGAGATAGTTCGGCGAGTTTCTATCTCTCCCCTGACGGGACAGGCTTGTGCAGCAACGACGACAAACACGCGATGAAAGACTACCCCCGCGACGCGGAATCTCGTCCGTCGAGTCATCACGCAAAAAGTCTCATATACGACACCGATCAGGTGCTGAGAGGCACTGCTCAAGTTCTTCGGGAGCAGGAGGCTCTGAATTCAAGAGAACAAGCGTTGAAGGACGAGCCGAATCACGATGGGCCGATCGACTGGAAGGAGAGACAAGCATGGGACTCGAAGCCTAACGACGTGCGGAAAACGCGAATACCGCCCACTTGGACCTATACTCACGTCAACTTCTCGCACGTGGATGCTGAATCGGGGAGAATTTATGTACAATTGCTTGCAGATGAGATCACCATCACTTCACTGTCTGAAGAGGTAAGAGGATTCCTCCGGCAATCGTTGGATTCGCAAAATGTTGGAAGATGATCTCGATGATCGCTTGGGGGCAAATGAGTGATTCTTTCTCGGTCATCTTCTCCACAGGCCAATTCGGACCCATCGCGCAGATCGAGGCCGCTTGAGCTGGCAGAAATAGAAACGGACCTCGTGGTCATTGCCCCATTCGAAAACTTGTATTATCGCGCTTCAGTTGTTTCGAAAAAATCTGAGAATGATATCGAAGTATTTTTCATTGACTACGGGAACACCGCGAAAGTCAAAGCACAGGTGAGTGTGATTGTAGTCCTCGGACTTGTGGAATCTATGATCCTTTACCCCGCCCGTCGTCTTGCCGGTCCCAGATCTGGGAAAATGTGAAATATCGACCTTAGACTTAGTGGAGGAGTGTTTAAGTATTCTCAGACGTAACAACTCACGAATCTTACAGGACTTGTCGCTCATAAACACGAAACTACAGTATAAGACTTGTAGATTGGCCATTCCTTGTGTCCTCGATGCCTCTCTTGCGTGCGCCGACCTCATTGAGCGATTGGTACGTAAGCTGCCCAAGAGCGCGACGCACGGCTGAATTGATTTTATGGGAGTGTATCGGTAGTCATCATTGCTCATTTTTCCCATTCAAGCCGGAAACCGCCTACGTTTGCCTGGCGAACCCTCCCGAGACTGAGCAGGGATCGGTGTACCGCATCATGGACGTGATGCATTCCTCCAAGGAAAATTTCCTGGAGCTACCCGAAACTATCCCATTCAGTGTGAGTCGCGCTCATCTGAATGCTCTACCACACATGATATCATACATATATGATGATTATATTATTATCAACATATGAATTATCATGTGCTTATTCATGATCCGATTATATGATCCTAGCGACGGTCTCCGTGCTAACGATATATTCCTGTTGTGAAGGCTCCTGATGACCCCAAGGTATTTTCGTACTCCGTCGTCATCACCAATGCGATCAACCCCGACCATATGTGGGTCGTCGAAACCAAAGACGTCGACGTGCCGGAAAAAGTCACAGCGATTCTTCATGGACTGCCCCCGGAGCCATGCTCCCCGACACTTGCTTTGAAGTCTACGTATGTTGCGCACAAAGGCAGGCGCGCCATGGTCATCGAGTGCCACGACGGCCTGTTCGACCTCTTGCAGCTCGATGATGGGGTTTCTGTGCTTGGCGTGCCGATAACGGCCTGCCGTCGACTTCCGCTGATGACGCACTTGATTCCCCAAGCGGCGAAATTGGTGAAACTCGCGAATTGCCAATTACGCAGGCAAGATAAGTTCGCGGAGCTGATCATGTCGAACTCGGCTGGTAAAAAGTACAATATGAAAGTCAAAAACGACGATTCTGATGACGTGATCCTCGTTGACCCCGTCTCCGAAAAGTACCTCGCCAAAGAGCTTAAGCGTTTGGATTGTGATCTTTGAGACGACACGTGGAACCTCGCTTGAGTTTCAGACTGCTTGTATGTATAATTTATCAGTTAGCCGTGTTCGATTTGAAGGGCCTCAGGAATGATGAACATCATTGTGTTTACGCTGAGCGGCCTTTATTGAGGTGGTGGCCCGGATGTTTAATTTTCGAAGGAAATTTCCGTCGAGAGGTTTTCAAAAGAGAAAATATCGCCGTGACAGCGGAACCGTGTCTATGGGATCGCACCATAAAACGCGACGCTCGCCGCTTGCATCGAGGATCGCAACTTCATAAGTTTCGGGGTCGACTGGAAGGAAATGGTCGTCAGGCAGTCGAACGCTTCTGTACTATATAAGTTAAAGGATGCGAAACCAAAGCAGACGATCGCGTCTTTTATTTGAAGCCGAACTTCCAGACCTGTTATGCTTGGCATGTGATCGTTGTAGAGCATGTCTGCTTTCGAGATGCTGCGGTTTCCCTTGACAGGGATCATCTGACGACGGACTCGATACCGCTCTTGGATATTATTCTCGGGAGAAATAGAAGCAGACGAGACGAAGAACAGGGAGTTCCGACCGACTGATGAGCCGCACGCGCCGAACATCGATCTCAGCACGTAGGGTTCAGCCGTGGGGATCGAGGCATTCGCAGATCCTGTTGGGTTCGTGGGACGAATGGAAAATTATCATCACCTGTTATAATAAAACACGACTCGCATTGTGCGGGGGAGTCCACCCCCTCTCTCTCTGTCCCCACTCGTTGAATGCACACCCGAGTTCGCCAATATTATTTGTCCGCCTTTGATGACCATTTCGGGCTTGACGCCGAAGAAAGCCGGATGCCACAGGACGAGATCCGCGAATTTACCCTGCTCGACGCTGCCGACATGTTCTGTTGATTGTGGAAGAATAGAGTCGATATTCTGCGTTTTATTCTAGAAATGAAACTTCTCCCAAATAAAAGAAAATCCCGATACTATTTTCATTTGCATTCGAATCGCTTTCTCGCTCATCATGCTCTGGATATTTCTCTGATTGTGAGAGAGACGCCTTCCAAAAGGAAAAGCGTTCCGGGCACCAGGGCGCACGCAAGGGCCATCCATCACCCGCCTCGCATTTCCACAGTGATGAGTGACTGACTGACTGACCTTTGATTCCATTAGCAATCGCCGGATTGATGGTGTACTTCGCAATGTAGCGCTTCACTCGGAAATTATCGTTCGCCTCCGAATCTTCGGGCAGCCTTGCGAAATGCTGCTTCATTTTGTGAGCTGTCTGCCACGTCCGAGACACGGTCTCGCCCATGCGACCCATCGCATGTGAGTCAGAAGTGAAGCACGAAATAGCCCCGAGATCGTGTAGAACATCTTCAGCTGCGACGGTTTCTGCACGCATGCGCGATTCGGCGAAAGCCAAGTCTTCTCGAATGTTTCTGCAAGCATTCCATTCGAGATCATCCTGAATCGCGCTACCCTCCGAAATCGAGCGGTAAGATAGAGTTCGACTTGAATCGTTCGCTTCGACCCACTTGTCGAGATGGTGGCAGATGAGCAGCATATCCATAACCTCATCCATTGTATTCCTCGTGTAGGGTAGGGTCGGGTTCGTTGAGGATGGGATTACGTTCCGGATGCCGCAGACTGTTATGATATCGGGGGCGTGCCCGCCTCCGGCACCTTCAGCGTGGTAGGCGTGTATGGTGCGCCCTTTGAACGCTTCCAGGGTGTTCTCCACGCAACCAGACTCGTTCAAAGTGTCGGTGTGAATCATCACCTGAACGTCATACTTTTCCGCAACCCGAAGGCACGAATCGATGGCTGCCGGTGTTGAGCCCCAGTCTTCGTGTAGTTTCATGCTGTACAGATAGAAAAATCATGAGCAAGACCATAATCGTGGGAGACGGAGGGTCCCCCCCCCCCAGCGCGTGTTCCCCCTCCTTCGATCGGGACCGTTCGGAGCACCTACCCCATGGCTCCTGCTCTTATCTGTTCCTCGAGTTCCGGGGCCAACCTCTCTGGATCGTCAGACGAGCAATTTCCCTTCGCTGTGAATCCGAAATTGATCGGGAACGCATCACAGCTCTCGAAAATGTTTCTGGAACGACAAACTCATGGAATCTGACTCTTCGCTTGGTTTCCTTACAAGTTTTCCGCCGTCTGTCGGTACCTCATCCCGATTATCCCCGGCGTGCACGTGGTCGCTTTGGAGCCCTGTGCGGGCCCCGTCCCGCCTCCGATCAAAGTCGTCACCCCTCCATGCAAGGCTTGCTCGACTAACTGCGGACAGGTGAAGTGGGTGTGACAATCGATCGCGCCGGCTGTGACGATCTTGCCCTCGGCCGAAATGACCTCGGTGCCGGCCCCGATCACCAACTTCGGATGAACGCCGTCCATGATGTCCGGGTTGCCGGCCTTTCCGATTGCAACGATTCGAGAGTCCTGAGGAAGATGGGAGAGGGTCTAAACATTATCCTCGGAAGGGACTCCCGGAAGAGTGGCATTCGACTCACGAGCAGAGAGAGGAAGGTTCCCAGGTGATTATCGTTTCTGATCGAATCCGATCGTTACCAACATTGATACCGATGTCAGCCTTGACGATGCCGAGCACTGCGTCGATGATCAAAGCATTGGTCAAAACGAGATCCAGAGTTTCATCGCACGACCGACCCACACACTGACCCATGCCGTCGCGGATAACCTTGCCGCCACCGAACTTGACCTCGTCCCCGTAGCTTGTCATGTCTTTCTCGACCTCGACGTACAGATCTGTGTCGCCCAGACGAACCAGATCGCCTACAGTCGGGCCGTAGTTCGCGGCGTAGTCGGATCTGGCGGGCATAATTAAGTTTTTTGGGGATTCTGACTGGGGCTTGCAAGGGGCGATCCCCATGCGGGAAAAGTGATAGCATAATGCATGACCATATCGCTTCGAATTCCAATGACCTGCTAATCTCCAGAGGAACGTCGATGATTTCGTCGGCAGCTTCATCGTTCGCATTCCCGAATCCTCTTTCCCTGATCATGGCCATGGCTCTCTCCAGGTTTTGATCGCAGAGTTTCCCGCCGCAGAATCCGTTGCCTCCAAACACTTTCCTGCAACGTGGGATGCGGGAGTCTCAGTGACGCGGCACTAACATTATGCCATTGGGAGTGCTGCGACAACATCACTCGAAGAGTGGCGGTGGTCGTCGTCATCGTCCATGAGAATTAAACGTAGTCGCTAAGCTGACCAGAGCCTCACCTGAGACCACCGACCTCGACGAGCCGAACGCGCTTGGTGTCTCCTGGTTCGAAACGCACCGACATGCCGGCAGCGATGTCCTGCGCGGTAAATGCTTCTCGTCATCGAAGATATCCAGCTTCTACCTCTCGAACACCACAAACACCTCTAACCTATTCATGCCATGACTAGAATGGGGCATTCTGATCGCCCCTCTCATTTGGAAACTGTCAGTACTCGTTAGTACTGGTGAGCCTTTGGTCAAGGACTTGGATGGTTCTGTCCTCGGAGCTATGAATACAATATCTTACCAGTCGCATTCCGTAGGACCTCGCTCTGTCGAAGATTAAGGCGGGATTCGCTTCGATGAACGGATAATGGGAGCCAATCTGCGAGATTAAAACTCGAAGTGAATTGAGCTGAACTTCAGAAAGTATCGAGCCGTAGGAGAACCAGTGCAAAAAATCCCCGTTTCCTTCCCGAGAGGTACTTCCCTCGGGAGAAAAGCCTGAATCGTACGGACTCCCTTGTACGGACCTCGCATCTATCTACCATTCAGCACGGCTGTCACAATCTCGAACCGATACGCCGCGGTAAATCGGTATGCCTTACCTGAATGGGCCTATCGCACGTGCTCGTCACGCCGAATTCACGCTTCACTCTATTCTCGTTAAGAGTGACGGTGCCATCCCCGCTCTGCACCTCACCTGATTCACGGAAGAAAAGACACGAATCACGCACGGATTTCAAATCGATGTCAGTAAAACTCCTTCTTTCACATTTTTCTCCGATGCACTCGGGTCGAACAAATATAAAGTGTTAGAACCTGGCGTTATATCGTCAGTCTCGTCTGGCTCATCGAAGTCAGAAATCGGCTCTACGAAACTCCCATAGAGCGCCGCTTCTAGCGGGAGATAATTTTCACAAATCGGATGGTGAAGACACACCTGTAACGAAATCATTCTCTCACCGGGCGATCTCTATTACCCAGAACAAATCGCACAGCCTCAATGAAGATTTTCACGCACCAGTTTAGTACCGTCGTCAAAACAGGCTTCGATCGAAAGTTCATCGATCATCGACGCAACACCGGGTAGCACATGATTACGACCCAGGACACGCCTGCCCTTGGCTGTCACTTCCGCCAGAGTGAGTCCGTCGCGAGCGAATTCTTGAACCTTGGGCAAGTGATTTTAATTTCCATGAATTTCGAGCATGACTTCGGCGGATATTCAATTCCTTCTGACAGCTCACCTGAGAGGCTAGGAGAGCCGTCGCTTCCGGATGGTTCAAGCGCAAACCTCTCCCTAGTCGTTTCTGGGCTAGAAAGCCGGCTTGATGCGTTAACAGTCCATCAGTTTCTTTGACTGAGAGGCGCATTCTCTATGGTATCGGCGCTTCCCGGAAGAGGTCGCTCAGCACTGATGAGTCGACGTTTCGAGACGATCGAAAGCGCCTAACGTCAGACTGTACACCTCTGGTGCCAGAGAGTTCGAAAGCTCCTAAACGCTCACAATTTCTCTTCATCGACTGTTTTACAACCTCATAAACATGGCTAGTCCTGTCAGGCTTCTTTGTGATAGTTCAGGAGATTTCTGTCGCCTGCCTCTCTAAGAATCCAGATGCATAATACCGACACCTGGGGAGCTTCATTATACTCGAATTCCGTCGATCGGTCCCAGGGAACTTTTAGCTTCCAGTTCCCGTGTTCTGGAGTGAGTGACACCGACAATTAATTTTGATCAAGCTTCGAACAATTTATTTATTTATTCAATGGATTTGTCCCGGGTCTCTCACTCGAGAAAACATAATCTTCACAAAGTTTCATCATTTCAACACTTTGTACAAATGCATTGAAAACGACACTAACTCAGTTCGTTTCCGCGCGGCTTTCCCGGTTGAAGCCCCCGCCACGACCTCCTCGACCGAATCCACCGCGACCTCCGCGACTGAATCCTCCGCGACCACCTCGACCAAAACCACCGCGACCACCTCGATCGAAACCTCCGCGACCACCTCTGTTGAAACCACCACGTCCACCTCTATCGAAACCGCCGCGACCACCTCGAGCGAAGCCGCCGCGACCTCCCCGATCGGATCCTCCTCCGAATCCACCCCTGCCCCTGTTAAAACCACCCCCACCGTCCCGATCGAAGCCTCCTCTCCCGCCCCTACTGAATCCTCCTCTACCGCCACGACCTCCTCTGTCGGATAAATTTCTGTCCCCGCCGAAAGAATTCCGATCTCGAGGCTGGAAGCCTTCTCGGTCTTTCCCTCGGAATCCTCCGCGACCTCCACGGAATCCACCCCGAGAATTTCCCCTGAATCCGCCCTCGTTGTCATCCTCGCTCCTGGATAGGTTCGTCGAGAGCCCTTTATCGTCCCCGCCTTCGCGACCGTTCCGCTTATCGAATTTCTTCATCCGTTTCGGGGCATCAGCCGTGATCTTAGACACATTGATCGCTTTGCCCGATTCGAATTTCCTCTTCAACTTCCGACTGGCAACTTTCTTCTTGTTTGTGTAGTTACCGTAGAACATAGCACAGCATTTACCGTGCAGAGTCACGGTCGCGTTTTTCGCCAGGTTCTCCTTGGCAGCTGCCTCATCTGAAAATGGAAAAGAATGAAGCAGGAAGGCCCTCAAAAGATCGGGATATAGTTCAGTACTCAACTAACGTATACAGTTCTTAGAGAATCAAGAGAAGCTACGTCAGGGAGCTACGACTAACCAGGAAAGTCGAGATAATTCTCGACGGTGTCCGTTCGAGGGTTTTTCGAGAGCCACACCGTGGTAGCTTGCGGAAACAGCTTGCACAGTTCCTCCTGAAATGAGATGTGTAAGCTATGGTCCGAGCTCCCGCACGATCGAGCTCAAATACCTGGCTCAGGAGCCGTCGCTCACCTGGGTGGTTTCCTTCGGACAAGCTATGATCGTCAGCTTCTTCCGATTGATGTACGTTGGCGGAGTCATTCCGAACTCTTTAGCTTTTTGAATTTTGATAGCTTCCCCGGCGACTATGCAAGTTTGCTTGTTAAGCTCTTTCTTTGCTTCTTCGGCGTCTTGTGGGGATGCGAAGTTGAGGAAGGCGAAGTTTTTGCCTCCTTTCGGGGGGAGTTTCACCTACGCAAGGGAGTTATATGGTCAGCCATGATGGTCCGAATCGATCACCATCTCGCGAAGCTCACACGTTTACTCCCGGCTAAATATTCTGGATTTCGATCGATATCGGAGCCGGGATCGAGATATCCAATCCTTTCAACTTACCCTATTTATTTTCGGGTGGAGTTTCTTGATTTCTTCTGCGGTGACTTCTTCCGGAACCCGCGGAATGAACAGCCACGATCTGACCATCGTAACATAATTGTTTCGGAATTGTTCCTCCTCGGCTTCAGTCGCTGTAAGAGAGGTTTGGATTTGGTTCTCGACGGAACTCCATGCGAAACTATTGGGCTCGTCTATATCGACGCAAACCGCAAACCGAGGAACATACTTTTATAGGCATCGAAGACCTCCACGAGCTTTTCATTGATTTGTTTTTCATCAACTTTCTTCACTGGCTTTTTTTTCGAGGACTTTACTTCCTGCTCTTCTGATTCTCCTTCCGAATCACTTCCGAGTTTCTTCCTCTTGGCCTTGTCGGATTTCAGTTTTGGCAAGGGGAGATCCTCGTCTTGATCCTCACCGCTATCCGATTGGGTTTTCCGCTTTTGCGCAGCCGTGATTGACGACTTCTTGCTCGAGACTTCCATCGGTTCTTCCTCGGATTCAGGATCTGACTCCATACCGACTTCGCCTTCAGCTTCGTCAGCGTCCTCATCGGAGTCGATATCTTCGTCGAGCCCGCTGCCATCTTCATCGCTCACAGAGGCGTCGTCACCGTCTTCATCGATACCGTCGACATCTTCTTCATCATCATCGTCGTCGTCATCTTCATCTGAGCTCTCTGCTGGGATCTCAACCTGCAATTTTTTTTAGGTTGTGATGGTCCGATCTTCGCCTTCCGGGCTCTAGGGCCGTCGTCTTCTACTCCTTCTTCATCATCATCCTCCTCGTCCTCCTCGGCGTCTTCATCATCATCCTCGTCCTCCTCGTCATCGTCTTCATCATCATCCTCGTCGTCCTCATCATCTTCCTCGGGAATCTGCGGTTTCAAAGGCTTTCCAGTCTGTTTCTTCATCTTAGATACTTTGACGTTTTTCCCCTGAGGGGTCGCATGCTTCAGATCGGCATCCTCATCCGAAGAATCATTTTCTGCCTCGCGCATCTTGGGGAGCGCTGGTGGGACTGCTTCCGAATCGTCCTGAAATCCGAATATCGGTCACCAAAGCCCTTCACAGCGTGGATAATGAATGTTCCAATCGACTGATGTAATAGAACGTCGAGATTCTCCAGAAAAAAAAATTCTAGTCCCACTGCCATAATGGAGGTTCCCAACCCACCTCGTCGCTGGATTCTTCAGACTCTTCGTGAAGCACAAAGCTGTGTCTCCACTGAAAGACGGGAAATAGTCAAATCCAAATTATCACGCCTCGCCGACGAGAGAAACTGCATCACGAATCCCGAGTGCCCTCGTGGTTGATGTGCGATAATCGAAGCCGCCGCTTCGAACTATCCTAGTGATCGTGAATGCGCTCGCCAGTTAGAGGAAACTACTCAGCTCACCTTGCTCCTTTTCACGGGGATGCCATTGTTTCCATTTGATTTCTTCTGACGAAAAACCAATGGAGACTTTTTGGGAGGCATGGCTGATGGCACAGGTATACCGTTTCCGTTTGTGGCACAGAATGTATTCGACTTCTTCTGAGCCGAATCAAGGTATTTGAGAACACTGACTTTCGACAATGCGGGAACCGGTGTCGCACGTTGTCTCGCCACCACGTGGGTGCAGAGGGTCGTGTATTGTGGAAAGGGATCGGTGTAGACGCGCCTAGCAGAGAGAAATTTCGAATTTCGCCGCCATTTGCGCGAATATCTGTCGCTTTGCGGAGAGCCCTCGAATTCGTGAAAAATGATCGGCACATCACTTGCATGAAATTAGGATCGAGTCCTCGAGTGTCCGAACTCCCGTCGCGACTGAGGGAATCCTCCAGCGATGAAGGCTCGTCAAAAAAATCGAACGAAGCGACCAATGAATGCATTCATGAAGATCGTCGCTCCCCGGGCCCTTCTTGCTAAACTCTTTCCCGGCGGCGGCCGAGTGGATCGAGTCGGTAGCCCGTGATTCAACGAGTATCCTGCTGTGGACGCTGCGGTCGAATGCGCTCGAGACTCGGAGTATTCATGATCGGGGCTCGGTGTCCATTATGGGTAATTCATACTATTACCCAAGTCCTCGACGCGAATTCCCGTTCCTCCACAGAATCCATGGCCGAGAAACCTTCGAGGTGACAGCGAAGCGGGGACGGTTCTACGCTGGGCCCGCATTTCACGGCCTCCAGCGTGGGAATGGCCCGGCCGACGCAATGCGTCGAGCATCGAGCCCAACTCATGAGCGACGATATCAATCCCGAGTTGAGACGAGACTCAAGATGGATGAATTTCTCTCCTGAGCACCTCCGCGCATCGTCATGAGCGCGAGCCTGAAGGGTGCTCTAAGAGCACTTATGAGCGCGTTCGTCCGAGTCCGGAACTAAGAAGTTCTGCAGGTTGGCGCCGCGAGTTAATTCCTCAGTGCTGGGGCCGCTTTCCCAACCTGCCCGGCTTCCGCAGCGGAAACGAAAATCTTCTTCATGTTGAACGGGATGCCGCTTTTCGGTCGGAGAACATGCTCCTTCCCGGAGCCCTTAATCCAACCCCTGCAGTCAGGATCGCTCACGAGACTAAGGCAAAGCTCATTAGAATTCGTTTGAGTACCGATTTGAAACGCCCTACATTACCGTCGCGGTTCTCTCGAGGATGGAATCAATCGCTCGCAGACCGGTTCTGCGTCGAGTCAAACTGAATGAGTGTGTTTAATCGGATGATAATCCTCTCTTGATTCTCTTGCCACCGCTCCTATAAAGATTATCGCCCGCAGCATTCACCCGGAGCTGTTGGCTACCGAAACATCGCAGAATCTTCAAACTTCAAACATGGCTGTGCCAATCCTTTATGTCGCCGCTGTTTTAACTGCATGTCTTCTGGTGAGTACCTTGAAGATACTGCAGATATGGACGGATCGGACGAACGCGACGAAAAAGTTTCCTCGAGCATCCGGCGCAGGCCGCATACTTTATCCGTCTCACCGGTGTTTCTCATTTGACCGAATGGAGGCTCAAGTTTGGTAGCAGCGATCATCCATACCTTTCAGGTTCACGTAGACGGGCAATCTCTGGTTACGCGGAAATTCCCCCACAATATGAAAGTGACAGGCGGTGAGCATGGACCCTTGCGCCTCGAGTCGCTGAGTTCCGCTGAGATTGATTATCCTAAAATCATGAAAGTTTCGATTCCGAACTTGAAACAGCTTGAATTGACTTTTCAGCGCTGCCGAAAAACCTCAGACTCGACCCCGCACTGAAAAGCATGCTCGAACTCCGAGCACCGGCAGGTTTTGAAGCTGAAGTGCTGATGGGCGGGTGAGACTTGACCTTGATATCAATTAGAATTTCAACTTCCTAATTTTGACGAGGAACTTGGTGAGCCGTCGCCTCGTCCTTTCTCCCTCTGGTCGGCTGCTTACGTTTCGTGACCGACTGTGACGCCTAGATTACGGGGCTCAGCGACAATTTGAGGTACAATTCGAACATCGAGAATGACAGAACTATCGAATTCTTCAGATACAAGTTCAATGACACCGATCACTTGATCAAAGCTCTACTCCACGACAGTTACAAAGCCAAAGTCGCAAAAACTCTCAAAGAATCGTATCAGCCATTGGATCAAATCGGTGAGTCATCTTCCCTTTGAATATGATGGCTGTACGCGGAATCTCGGGGCAAAATACATCTGCCACGAACCGTTCTTTCCACGTCGATCATGATGCTCTCCTACGGCGAAAGTTTCTGACGCATTCAGGTACCATGGTGCTCGACTACATGTTCATGCGCCACATCTTACTGAACATGAACTCGATTAGTGGACATCAACTTTCGACAATGAAGAATGCCATGGTGCAACGTGATACGCTTTGTTTCGTCGCACTGAAGCACAATTTCGAGAAATACATCCATGTGGACCGTAAACTGCTTGAAACGAAAGCCATGGGAGAATTCAGGGACGCGGTTGAGAAAAATGAGGTAGTTCCCTTTAGCTCCCTTTCTCTGGCGAATTCCATGCCTGTGCAGTATGAGCCGACACCCAGGGATATCCCGAACTTCCTAATTCGACTTCATGTCCCCAGGTATACCAAGACATCGTGCAGAAGATACCCATTCCGAAAGAGCGACCGGTTCCGGTATCCTTCCTCGCCCCAATGTTTAAAGCGGTTATCGGAGCAGTCTATGTAGACAGTGGTTATGACATGCAAGCGGTCGAAGAATCCATCTTGCCGCTTTTCAAAAAGAAATTGATCGCGTCATCAGCAAGGTCACTCTCAGGAACCAGAAAGTCATGTGAGGCATATGAAAACCCCGCGAATTCGTCTTCCTGGTCGTTCGACCCTTCAGTGACTGAATAAACTGTCCCCGATACATAAGATCCATGACGTACACTCTTCCGCATCTGTGACCGGATGGCAGAGGTTCATTTATGATAATTATATGATTGTGAATCCACAAGGCACGATGGCTGTCAGCGGTCGATGAGAGAGTAGTGGGACGGTCGTTCTCTGACTGAGTAAAAACGATTTCGTCCCACATCCCGAGACAAAATGATCTCCCTGCCATGAACAGGGACCAGGAGGATTGCGACTAGCTGACTCCCGAAGCGATGTGACCGAGTGGCAGACATTTATCAGAATCGAAATGAGACACAAATATATTTTTAGACTCCATCTCCGGAGCTTCTCGGAGAATCGATAGGATCAGAAGCCATTCGAGAGGACGAGCGAACAACGCAGTAGAAGGGAATGGCGCTGATCGCATCGGGCACCGGAACAGTTGCCTCAGGAACCAATCCATTCACCGTCCTATTCAGTATGGGTCGCGAGTTGGTCCAAAAAGCGGAACACCGGTCTGGCTCCTGCTTGATGGGTTGGTAAGCAGGACAGGAAAGTGAAAATCAGTCATCATAAAGTCGGCTCTGATCATCTCCGAGATCATTCGCCCATCAAGACTCTCATGGTTCTCATCGATCGCCATTAGGCGTTAACTTCATATGGGAACATGGAAACTTCATATGAGGGAGATATGCGGTGCTCTCCGCCGAGATAGGGACAGAGGAAAATTCGTTATTTCGCCCTTCATTCACAAATCATCAACAACAAGGGCGGTTTCTCTTTATTTACAAATAATTAACTCTCTCTTCCGGAGTCGACGAGGAGGTTCATCACAATGCTAAGGTTCTGATAAGTCTAGGTCACATGTTATGTGTCCTCGAATCATCGACCACGGACGGCGATGCGATCCCTTAGTTCAGTTCAACATCCTGGACGAAAGTCCGTCGTTTCCCTTTCCAATTGCGGCTCAAGAAGGCTGTCAATATCGTTGACAGAGGATTCGTAACAATATTGGCAAATATCATTGCGATGATCACATCAATCGAATATGTGAGTTGGTTGGCATTGAGCATTTTCAGTTGACGGCCGTCTCCGCTGAGCAAAGCGAATTTCGGGATTGCCATCCGCACCACGAGAATGAAACCCGACAGAACTCCAACCATGGTGCCCTTGGCCATGGTCGAAAAACCGACGTAAAGCGATAACGCGTGAGGCGTACCGTATTTCCACCGGAGAAGCGCGAATACCGTTACAACTTTCGCCAATGAAGCACTTACAACAGCGATGACCGACGTGATGAGCAGTTTATGTTTGTCCGCGCGGTGACTCAGCCGGTATTCTTCAGGTAGTACCATGGGTGCGTTTTGGATCGTGGTGAACGTCTTCTCGTAGAATCTTTTGTCAGACGACAAACAGAAGCTCAGCACGATAAAGGCCAAAACGCAGTGTAGGACCACATTCAGGAAGTAGAACATCTTCTTCACATTTGTTCGTACATGTTTCACTTTGCTGATCGCGCTGTCGAGAACGTCGAGGACGCTGCTTTCGGGAACGTAATTTTTCTTCCAGCCGTACACGAGTCCGGCCGCCGCCAAGAAAGCCGACAGCGGCTCCGCCCCGTGCAGAAAATGGAGATGCTTCGACTCTAATCGGTCGATCGTCGCTTGGAAGAGTACGGGGATTCCGAGCACCATCAGCATAGAGAGCATCTGAGTCTTCGGAGCTCCAGTGTATCGAGCGAAGCCAAACAGGAATACCGCAATAACGATTCCGAGGATAGCGGACATGACGTACGGAGCGATTCGAGATACGATGGATGCGCTCTCGGTCGAGGTCAAAAATCCAGACTGGCAATCGTTTCCGACGTAAACCCAGGTCCCTGTTGAGTTCTGGGACAGGGTCGTCCAGCAGGGCGAGACGAATTGCGCTCCGAATGTGAAACCCAGCGTACAGAGGGCCAAGTTGATTATGAGAGAACCACGCATCAGTTGCGGAAGGTCGTTCCGTAGACACACGTCCCGATTCCCATATTTTTCCATAAAGCTCGCTCTGCGCTTGATCAATCTGTGGTCCCACCCACAGAGACAGAATCCGGTCAAGACGGCCCAACCGTACGGACCCCCGTTCAGAAGGTACAAAACACTGAACACCAGAACCTCGACGAGGGTCGGGAGGACGGCCAACATCACGCTGACGTCGATTTGAGCTTTCCATATATCACTGACCGTGACCAAAGTTCCCGTGAAAGCTGCGACCGTTAAAGGAAGAACGTAAATTTGGAACAGATATATCCGGTCCGGATACATAATCGTCTCCACGGAGTCCGAGAACGTCTCGTGGAGAACTGCGGACGGTAACCAGATGAGGGCCGTGGCCACAGACACGACTGTAATGTGAGGAACCGTGAGCCATTTCTCAAGAACTTCCGCCACCGTGACGATCGATATCAAGAGGACGATCGGGGGAAACAGCGCGACGGACCTGAAGCCAGCCAGTCCGATCGTTATAAACAGAACGGCCAGGAGCCAATAGAGGAGCTCGTTGAACGTTGAGGAGGTGACCGCCTCCCTGAGGAAGCGGACGCACCTTTCCAAACAGTACCTCATGGTGGAGCACGTCGTCTCACTGACTTGGCTCAACTTTCGCTGATTGGAGTCTCTTCTTTTTCTGAGTCATTTAGAAACACAGCTCCTCATCCCCGAATCGGTGGGAATTTTCAGAAAGGCGTTCCGCTCCAACCGCAGTCGACTCACGTATGACCAGGATTAGAGTGGCTTTGTGAGCAGATTGACAAGCTCGTCATTTGTTTCTAGCCAGCAGACGGTCTAGGAGCCATTTCGGTCGGTTTTGCTCTCGACCTATAGAGGACTGACGTTTCGGAAAGCGAATACAGTCACCGTCAAAGGGCTCGTCAATCTCGCCGCAGATTCCATCGAATAACTTTCCGCTTATTCCGAGCAGGATCTGGTCAATGGTTCCGTCGAAATCTGATCCCTGGAGCCAAATAGACCCTCCGCGGCCCAATACGTTCGGATCGCGTGCGATTGATCCGCGGGAGCCTTGGAGCGGAGTCTTCTTCCCGATGAAAGCGATCGCGGAGCCATACATATGAAACTTGATGGAAGCGGACGAGCATCACTCATCTCGAGGCCTCTCGCGGTCTCGACCTTGTTCTAGGTTGTCATGGAAACGTAAGCATAACCTAACATCCTCAGCGTCTTCGAACATTTGTTATCACGGGGCGCGCGCGTTCGACGATCGGACTGACTGAGCTCTATCATCCCTTGCACAAGCCCTTGATCGACGTGAAGAGAAATTCCAGAAGACCCCACTCCCCCGCGCCAAGAACGCCCTTTGACTGAGTCTCCGTCCTCCCGAAGCCCGGGCCCTGAACTTCCTCGGACGCTGAGAGATCTCTTCTCACAAAAGTTTGAAAATTTGCGCCGTGAGAGCCTGGATTTCAACGATTTGACAGAGGCGCTGACATCGAAGCTCCGTGCGACAAGGGAGCTTCACCCATCAGTGAGGATAGGAGCGATAGTTGGCGGGGTCAGAAACCTCGTGGGTGTGGGCTAGCTGCCCTTTCCGGCCCAACACCACGACCCCAGTGGGCAGCCGAGTGCGCCGAGCCCATGACATGGTACCTCGGATGGCTCCTGTAGACGCGAGGTTGTCTTCACCTGTGAATTCCTGAGTGCTCCAAGAACCAACCGAAGACGAGCATGAAGACGAGACCGATCTCCGCGCAGGTTCGTGTCCCACGAGTTATCCAACGAGCTTTGAGACAAAATTCGATTTTCACCACTTTCATTATCGAAAACCGCGAGATCAACCCGGAAACGCTTCTCATCGACGAGCCGCGCTTCTTGGTCCTGAATGCTCCCGAGAAGGAACCGTTTCTGCAGTCGATAATCATGATCCTCCCCATGGTTTCCAACAGCTCTCGTATTCTTGCGAAATTTCGTCCTTGTACCACAGCTTACGATTATACGGCGGAACGAACTCCTCATTCCGGATTGATCCAGGAGAAGATGCTCAAAATTGATGGCTTCCAGCTGCCGAGTCACCACTGGCTTACTGGAAAAGAGATTCGCTGTCTTAGCGATGGCGGAACTTACTCGGCTCATTCCCCGGTCCCGCGCGGCATTTCCTGGATCAACAGCGAGCGCGAGAGAGAAACAGAGATGGGGATTTACTCACTCGATTATTCAATCTGTGTCCGGAGCTCGCCGTTCACGTCATTAGACATGTGCGATTGCGCCAACTCCGATGAGGAGCCCTTCCGCGTCGCGCAGTGTGGGCTCGTTAATTCAAGGCGACATTATTCGATGCTCGACGCTTTTTAGGTCGAGGACGCTCAAAGAGAGCAACGGTGGAGAGTTTGAGGCTGAATCCAATTTCTCACCTTCATCTCCGAGACCGGCGTCCGGTGTAATTCGCTGCGGTGTTGCCCAGGGCTTCTGATGTCTCGAATTAATGTCTGATTAGTTCATTGAATGTTTGTGTAGGTAACCCCGCCCTGGATTTCCTTCATTCAGATGCTCTCGAAATCCGGAGCTCGGCTCGCGGACCAGCCGTAATGATATTGAGATTGCTCTCCACTGAAGTGATATGGCCTCCACAGAGAAGCCAGTGCGTGGAACCGCATTCCGCAGACCGTAGATATACATTCGCTCTTATACCTGTGGGTCAGGAGATCAAGGACACTCGTCTCGTATGAGTCGCTCGCTCTCTCGCTGGCCAGCCAGCCCACAAGGACAACGAGTCGCTTCACTGATGGATATTCTATCGAGTGATGGACCTTGAGAGACCTGTTCCCGATCCGAGATATTCCAGTTCCGCAGATAATATTCGAGCTGTCGCTTGAGCCGTCACAGCTTTCTCTCGTCAAATCAATCATGGGTCACTGATCACGGGCAGCAACAAATTATGCTGCCAGGCTGAACGGCTAAAGCGCTGACGACAGCAAAGTCGTTCGACTGAACTGGATACCTAACTGACTGAGGAATTAGCACGCCCGAGGCCCGTCGATTAAGCTCGCG